CCCCAGGCCTCAGGTCGCACGGCCAGCATGAACCGTTGGACCCGTAGGGGCAGGGGGGTTTAAACCCTTGATACAGGGTTGGGGGTTTAGGGTTTTTAGGATCATCTTTCATTCTGAGCCCTTAAAACCCAAATTCCTCACCTGTGTGCCCAATTCCTAGATTTTCCTCCCCAAGCTTTAATAAGAAGCCTTCATAGTCACGAAGGCAAATACAATTCATTACCTACAACCGCGGAGGACAAGATGAAATTCCTGCTGGAGAAGCCAGCACGTTTTCAGTTGTGCCAGGAATGGTTCGATTTGAGCCAAGGTGTGAGTCATCCCATTATTGGATGCTTGCAAGAGTTGCATGTGCTCGCTGTAGGCGACACAGAGCAATACCAAAAATTGCAAGCCACGTCCTATTGGAAAGCAAGCCACGCGCTTGTAAGCCTTGAGTGCTCAGAACTTGTTTGTCTCCCTGTGCAGAAGGCTTTGCTCAGGGACCTTGCCAAAATGCTAAATTTTCCGGAGGGAAGTGCAGACTTGACGCAAGCTGTGTTTGTAGAGCTTAGCAGCGAGAAGCTGGGCATTGCCCCAGCGGCCGACCCACAGAACCATTTTGATGAAAACATGGATATTGCTCTGATGAAGCAGTATGCGCGCATCATTGCGTCCCACGTGAAGAAGAGCAGTTTGCCGCATCTTGCGGCAATCTTGCAACATGTGAAAAGCAAGACCGACAATCAGAGCAAGGAGGAAATGGAAGTTAAGCAGCCAGATCAGGCCAAGGTTACTGGCCCTTCAGTAGAAAAGCCAGACCAAGTGTATGCCGTCGGAGACCTAGTCCGAACAAAAAGCCGCAAGGCAAAGTACAACGACATGAAGGGCGAAGTAGTGAAAGTCTTGAAGAGTAATGTCAGGGTCAAATTGGACTCGGGGGAAGTCAAAGATTTCCCGATGACTTCAGTTGCTATGTGGGTGGATCCGGCTCCAGCAGGTTCAGGTGGTAGGAAGCGTACAGCTGAAGACGCTGAGCTCAAATCGCCAGACCTTACGCAGAAGCTCTTCGGAAACCTGTCGGACTTGTGAACTGGTGCAGGTGGCAAAATGATCCTGCAACGTCTGTGTTGCAAGCCCTTACGTAAACCTTTCATCCTAGCTGGGAGGGATCTTTTTTCGCTGCGGGCCTGAAACTTCCTCAGCTGTCATGCTGTACTGCCAGCGCAAGTGTTGACAGCACCAGAGAACTCCTAATCCTTGCAAAGGGTCTTGTGTTCTAGGACTGAGAACCTGGGAAAGAAATAGCCTAGGGTATCATCCAGTGTTTTCGGTGCTGAAAATTTCGCAAGGGCCCGAATGTACTGACAATACCCCATAATCCTGGCGGATATCTTTTACTGCAGGTTGTAGAAGCCCACCAGGCCCCTGATTCTCAACC